TATGTGAAAGAATTCCCCACACCCTCGGTTAGGAGCAGATCTCATCTCATCTGCCGCCTTCCATCTGAAGTGCACTAGTCCATGTAACTGCCCAGAAGATATGGCTGTCAGTTGGTCCAACTACCCACTATTTTCACAGGGTTACCACTTAGTTATTAAAATAGCAATAGCTGCACCACTGCAGGAAAAAAATAGTATTACTTAATAAGCATCTTAACAAGCATACTGAATGGTAGCTTTAAACATGGTCCTAAGGCAAAGGACCCAGCTACACAGCTGCAAATAAAATGTTCTGAATGTGTTGTAAAATGCAATATACAAATGTGACACTAGATGGCGACAGTGAGCTATGCCAAATTCAATGTATTTTTCAAAACTTTTTTAAAAAGCATTTTCACAGTGTTTTTTTAAAAAATGTGTGTGTAGATTCCACCAAAGTCTGAGGGCACATAAGGCAGCCATCTTGTTGAAGCTGAACAGTTCAGGGCCTGAATGGGAGGCACTCTGAAGCCCTTGTACTTGTTAGAAATGTAGGCTATAATAAATGTACTAATTAAATGAAATAATAGAGACATGAAGCACAATCCTGGCCCAATATGGCTTTGCCCCTCTGGACATAGGGGCTGTTGAAAACCGACAAGGGTGTATAAGGGGGCTAAATGAGGCCTGCTAAGCAAATACACACAGGCTATGATAATATATTAATTGCTACACACCCTCTTTTCTTTTAATTTGTATAACAAATGAATGAGCACTAAGGAGTTTTTTGTATACTCTTGGGGAGGAGGGGACACACACACACACACACAAGATTTATGAATGCTGTGCTGCCATAAACATGTCCTTGCTATAATTTAAGTCATTTCCCTCAGCTATTCCCTCTTAAACCTGCAATATCTACAATAGTTCAAGGATTTCTGTGCCCTTCCCTGCCTCAGTCTGTCACTCCTGATCTCCAAGCATTCAACTTAGGCTAACAGGAAGGTATGGTTTTTTTTAAAAAAAGAGCAGGCGATGGGATGCATAAACCCCTTCAGTGCCTGAGATAAATTAAATACCGCATATTGGCCTCAGGGTCTCTGTGTAGAATATTCTGCCCGCTTAGGTGACCCAGGGATTTTAAAACTCATTTTCGAGTCTGTATCTAGTCAGTGTGAAAAGTGTTAATGTTCCTGTATCACAGTACACTGATTACACATCTTTTTTTACACCCAATAACCACACACAATGATTATATTATTCATAAGATATTTTACCTGAAGTAATAAAGCAAGCAGCTTTAGTTATTATTTCCTAATCTTTTTTTTTAAAAAAAACCCTCTTTTGCTAGCCCTAGGGATTACCCTGCTCTCCCTCCCTGTATATTCTTTAAACAGGTATAATAGCATAAGCAGTGGACAGTGGATGCTGATTTGTGTACATTTAGATTTACTCTGGAAGATGGGGGCTGCAGAGGAGAGTGGCATCCAGGTGTGTCTAGAGTTGTTATCAATATGCTGATGACAACCAGTTCCTTGGTTTTGTGTCACTAGTCACCTGGGACCTAATACCTCTGAGGAAGTGCTCAGGTGGAATAAGGGCAAACAGGTTGAAACTGACTGAACCAGTGCTAGTCAGAATTAGGGTGACTATGTGTCCTACTGTACTGTCCTCTGTTTTGAAGGACTGACAGAGGACAGTCTTCCATTCGATGGCGTCCTCTGTTTGAGGACTGCCCAGTCTAAGTCTGGTTTAAAGATGATGTCAGGGGCTGGACTGAGGAGGAGTGGTGGGAGCCGCCCCACCCTTCTCCTGAACCGTCCCGAGAAGAGGAGGGCAGTATAGATTTAGAACAGTGGTTTGCAGAAGGACATAGTTCAGAGACTGCAGAGGAGAAAAGCTGGGAAATATCGGGAGAGGAAGAGCAGGAAGAAGAAACACCAGGGGAGAGACAACTGACGGACTCAGTGTCTTTGGAGAGCATTCCTGAGTCCTCCTCTCCCAGGACTAGGCGTGCATTGAGAGTAGTAAAACAGAGAGCTCAGAGGCAGAAAGCCCAGATCAGCTGGTGCAGGGATGACGTAGGATAAGAGAGAAGGAGGGGATTGGGTTTTACTCGGAGCAGCGTCATTATTTAATAAGGACTACATTCCTTTGTCTCTGTGAATACTGAATAAATTATGTGATAAGGACTCTTCTTGTTTACCTGCTTTTTTGGCTGCCACTGGGGGAGGGACAGGATTCCTTGAACCTTGACAGATAAGGAACCATAAGAACGGGGAGCAGGAGCCTTGTAACTGCCTACCAACATCTTACTTATACAGTGGTACCTCGGGTTACATACGCTTCAGGTTACATATGCTTCAGGTTACAGACTCTGCTAACCCAGAAATAGTACCTTGGGTTAAGAACTTTGCTTCAGGATGAGAACAGAAATCGTGCTCCGGCGGCGCGGCGCCAGCAGGAGGCCCCATTAGCTAAAGTGGTGCTTCAGGTTAAGAACAGTTTCAGAGTAAAAACGGACCTCCGGAACAAATTAAGTTCTTAACCTGAGGTACCACTGTACTATGGTGAGATGTAGTATGTGCTCTCTTTCTAATATGTGCCTATGCAAAATAGGATCCTCTTTTATCCTTGTTATTATTCATGCACATCTTTCTTTAAGCAATGTGTAGCTGGCCACCATCATTAGAGGGAATGCTTGTGGGCTGCCCTCATGTCTTGAAAGGGGTTGGAATGCCCGTGTTTCACCCTTACGATACCCTTGAGGTAGATTAGGCTGAGAGATAGTGATGGGCCAAAGGTCGGTCACTGAGCTTCATGGTTAAGTGAGGATTGAAACCTTGTCTCCCTAGTCCCATACTCTTTCTGGCCAGTGCTCTTTTGGACAAAAAATATTGAGTAAATTCTCCATTGCTGAAAAGTCTTGAGTAAATGCTCTTGAAGTAACTGGCATTCTTCCTTTATGGAGAACTTTCCATAGTGTTCAATTTCCAAGCAAGGGTGAGGCACACCAAATATGCTGTCAGCACCAGAGCTGAAAGGTAATATCATGGCCATTTGTTTCAGTAACCTGATCATATAAAACAGGGAATATTATTTTATTACTAAAAAAAAAATCAAAAAAAAAATCAATGCAATTTTCCAATGATGCTCATCAAAGACAAAAAGGCCTTGGCCTCATCTTCTGCAAGCTTTGCCCTGTGTGAGGTATTGTAGTTCTTCCCTTCTTTCACTTCTTCCCAGAGTTATAAATTAATATCTCAACCCTGACCATAATATGCCCTCTAACAGTGTTTATTATTACTGCATATTTTAGACAGGTGGTAAGTATTGGCACTTTTTATTATGCTGATAAACAGTGTTGGACTGCCAGGTAAAATGCATTGTCAGGGGTGATTTCTCACTTTTTTCTCGCTTCCTCTGGATTTTATTTAGGCACATGCAGGATAAATCCCAATTGCTGAAGCATTTTGGCAGAGCTTCCTTTCCGTAATTGACAGTGTTGGGCCATAGGCAGTTGAGAATGTGTCTCAGCAGGTTTGGAGCTGAAATCTAACAATGCAGGCAAGTGAGGTGGTAGAATTACGTGGTAGCAGAAAGCAAAGTTCTAGTTGTGACTGCGAGGGGAGGTTTTTCTTAAATGCCACCTCCATTGAAAAGTTCAGTGCATTAGACAACAGCACACTGAGAGAGGAGTGGGAACACTCATAAATGGTATGTGTAGTGGAGCAAAGTGCACAGAGGGAGGCCTACTGAGAACCTCCTGGGAATCTGTGTAGAGGTTAGAGTGTTGGTCTAGGAGTAGAGAGAACCAGGTTCAAGTCCCCACCTAGCTATGAAGCTCATTGGCAGATTTTGGATCATTTGTTCTGTCTCTCTTAGCCTATCTTACCTCACAGAGTTGCTGTGAGGAGAAAGCCCCATTGAATTCAGCAGGACTTCAAGTAAACATGGTTGGGGTTGCAGAGTGGGTCAAAATTCAGTCTTACTTCAGGGAGCCTGGAAAAGGTTTGCAAGACAACAAGAAGCAGAGAAGTAAGCAGGTGGTCAAGGAAGGTATAAGAGGGAGGGAGAAATGGGCAGGTGGAGAGACTGGACCACAGGAACACAAGCCTGAGAGGCCACATAGTTGAGGCCCTATTCTGGCTATCACCCAAGCAGACACCTGGTCCAGCTTGGAATATTTACAGCCAGACCAAAATAATAAGAACAAAAGTCTCCACTGGGGCTCAAATCATGCTGGAGTCTAGGAAGACAGTACTGCTATTTTCCTCTCAGTCCTGTAGTCCTGTGTGTTCATCACAACAAGGGACATCTGTGACAACAAGGCTGTGTAAGTACCTTCTGATTTTGTCAATAATTAAAGTGCAGTGTTTTTAAACAATTCCTGTTATCCTTTCTGTTACTCGTCTATCCATATCCCTTGGAAAATCAGCAATGGTGTGTATGTTTGTGCACATGCAGGTGGATCACAAGGGTTTGAAGTAGAAGCTAAGAACAAGGTAATGCAAGAGGGGCCATGGACATTTGAGGGTTAAGAAGTTTAAATATATGTCCCTGAGACATACATTTAATTCTTAATACCCCATATTTCAAACAATTCATGTTTAGCCAGTATTTATCCAGGATGCACATGACTTAATTTCCCCCTCAAACCGTTTTTAAAGAATTGACATTCAAAACTGAAAGGCAGCATGCAATGAGAAACCTTAAATATTAGCAGTCTCTCACTTGGTTCTAAACTAGGAGCTGCCAGATGGAGATGAGGGGGTGTGTGTGTTTGTATGTATCAGTAGCATGGAACTTGCTTGCCTCACACTTGCAATCCGTGCAGGAGGGCTGTGCTGATCTTCCCTCACCCTGATCCTTGCCAGTGCCAGTGGATTAGCAGGACTGGCAGAGGTGGCATATCAACTGTGGTGCAGAAGTGGCACCAACTCTCTGAGCCAGTTGGTAACTACACCTTCCATGAGCTTCTTTGCTCTCCTGTGCTATTTGATTCCAGCCCTCTGCCTCAAGGTTATGGCTCAGTGGTAGAGCACCTGCTTTGCATGCAGAAAGTTCCAAGTTCAATCCCTGGCATGGTCAGGAAGGGATGGAAGAGACTCCAGTGCAAAACCCTGGACCAATGTCTGCTGCTGCTGCTGTGGAAGCCTCTGCTGCAGCCACAGAAATCACAATGGAGGCAAAGCTACTACTTGACAAAGAATGAGAGCAGAACGGAGCATGACTGACCATGGCTTGTATCCAATACAATGCCACATAACCACCAGGGCAAGGATTATATTTGGGTGTAGGATTTTCCCTTCTTCTACCGTGTGCAACCCTCTGGAGCAGATTTGGAGAGGGCCATGTGAGAGGGAAAGAGGGAGAAAATTCCCATTGCAGAAATCCTTGCACCGACAGGGCAGTTCCTTAGCACTGCATTGGGCACAAGCCTTTATCGTATGTCATAGCTGACATATTCAGTTTTGCTATATGAAAACAATTATTGCTATACCTGTCCACTCAGACATAAACACCATCAGAATCAGGTAACGGGACATTATATTGCAGTCTGTGGTACAGGTATATCTGACATCTTCCACCCTGATGGAAATAATTGGTTAGGCTTCTCTTCAGATTCCTTCTAGGGCTCTCTAACTAATTTTAAGCCTGTGGTGTTCTTGGCTTTTATTGCATATTTCAAATACAGTGGTACCTCAGTTTTCAAACGTAATCCATTCCGAAAGACCGTTCCAGTTCTGAAACATTCGAAAACTGGAAACTCAACAGCCGACAGCCAGGCCTCAGGATCTTGCACTCATTAGAAGCCACGTGGCACTTTCGACTTCTGAGGTGTGTTTGAAAACAGAAGCATTTACTTCCGGGTTTACAGTGCTCGTAAACCGAAATGTTTGTCAACAGACACATTTGAAAACCGAGGTACCACTGTAACAAAAAAAGGACCCATGGAGAGAGCACCAGTATCAGCAGATGCAACATTGAGGCTGCAATCCACACACACACACACACACACACACAATACCTGCCAACCAAGAACCAAAATAAGGCATTCCTTTCTTTAAAAAATACTTTATTTAAGATTCAACAATAACAAAAAATCCACAATAACGACTACATCAATTAACCATCTTTAACAATAGTTGAAAAATTACAGAACATCACTTTAACTTACTCAAATTTTCATATTTAACTTTTATCTCTATTGTAATAATAAACATCGCCTGGGAAAACTAGAATGATTCTTGTAAAATAAGAAATATAATGTTTTTGGTATCTGATTAAAACAAAGAAAGTAATATAGTAATCTGGAACTGTGTGTGAAAAAATAATAGAAATAATAATACAGTGAGTCTAATTGGAAGTCAAATTGTGTTTATTTTATTTTGTTTTTTCTTTCTCTCTTTTTCCTCCTTTTCTTTCTACCTTCTTTTTTTGGTCCTTTCCTTTTTATTTTTTATTTGCTAAGAAAGAGATAAAGAGCCAAAATAAGGCATTCCAAGGAGGGGGGGGGCGTGTCGCTGTGAAGAGTAAGTCTGCAATCTGCTGTATCCTCAGTGGCCCTCACAACCAGGGCGGACTGGTATCGGGACCAATCCTTGTGCCAGCCTGGAGCTCATGCAGTAATCAGCCCCATCTGCCTGTCTCCCCACTGCCACTTTCCACTGCTGCTGCCATGAGTGGCCAGGCTGCAGATGTGGCAGTGTCTCCACTTGTTTGCTCCGCTAGTTCTGCACCCTAACCTGGATGCTGAACCGCTGCAAGGCAGCAACATACACTGATTGTTTAAACTCACTTTACTATTAAGATTAGGTCAGAGTGCCTAGAGCCAAAGAAGAACAGGGAGTTTATATGTTTTAACAGTTATGCAGAAGGGGGGGGGGGGTGTGGATTTTAGCAGCTACCTAACTAACCCATAGTTTTTGATTAAGGTTTCATAAGCAACCAATTCTGAAAGATATGCAAAAGGATAAAGGGGTATGTTCACACCATTTTAGCTTGCCTGCTTCCATAATGAATGAGCCTAAACTATTATTTGTGACATGCTGAAATACTGTTTTAGGAAAGAAAATAATGACTCAAGAGAAGGACCTTGAGATAGTTAGATAGGAAGGAAGGAGGGCTTTTGATTCAGCCAAAAGAGAACAATTCGAAGCATGTTTAACTAAAGTGTTACTGAGTGCAATGAGGCTCTCTTATTGGCAATATGCATGTGCATAGGAACGTAGGCGAAAACGGTTTAATCAATATATGTCTGAGAGTGTAATTATAACATTGTAACACATATGGATCCGAAAGAAGTATAAAACAAAAATGCATTTTTGTACATATGACTTCCCCCCCTTAATATACACAGAAGAAAATTATTTATTTTTTATCCTCTGCTAATCTGATGGAGTACAATTTTTGTTCACAGGACATTTTTACTGATTTATTTTGCCTTAGAGAAAGGAACAAGGCAATACTGCAGAATCAAATCCACCATATGTCGGTTGGGTAATCCCATGTACATGCAACCCCTGTGTGCTTCCATTTATTGGAACATCTGATTATCTGAATGTTTTGGATGCCCTCCAGGCCAATTGGATAAATGGGTTTGTACTGTATTACAGTGATGATTAATACAGATATTTTGCTAGGTCAGCATGCTAAAAAAGAACTGTGCTGCACAAACCACTTAATGCCCCAATTTACCTCAACTGTCTGGTTGGTGCCAACACTGATATTCTGCATCTCAGGGAATCAAAAGGAAGAAGTGAAATAGAGGAACCAGGAACTTTGCATTGAAATCTTCCCAGTGTCATTGAGTCTGCTTCTTTTTAGATCAGTGATTTAGATCAGGGTTCCAGATCACATGGAATCCACTGGCTAGCCCTGAGTCTCATAGTTGCTGGGCCTGAGTTGCCCTGCCCTTGCATGAAGTCTTGGGTTTACAATTTTGGGAGAGGGGAGACTGCGGCACTGGGGAGAGGGCAAGCTGGCAAGGCCCCCTGGATTTAGAGGCCCTAGGCTTCAGCCTACTTAGTCCTGCTGCTCACTCCTTCTGAACAGGGCTACCAAAAGAAAGGAAGGGATTATTGATCTGTGTGATCTGGTTCCCTTGACTCATCTGTGTGGCATATGTGTGTCATCTGCAGATGTTAGCTCGAAAGGGTCAGACAACAGTCTAAGCCAGCATTATTTCTTCAGAGAGTTTAAAAACGCTTGTTTTTGCTGAGCCAATAGATGTATCAGAATTTAATTCCAGTTATTACTCACTCTTTAGCTGTGAATCACATAATTAATGTCTACCATTTTTAGATATGCAATTTAGGTAGCAGCTTTTTCGCATTGTCACTTTTCACAGGTTTCAGTTTAGCAAGTGGGATCTGCAACAAAATGTGGATATTGCTGAATGTCCTGTTCAGTGTCTTAGCCAGCCAGTCCTCTCTTACTCTAAGATATTCCATTTTATTCCCTCTCCCTCCTGTTTTCTCCTCCCAACAGTCAGTACTCAAAAGCTCACTCTGCAGTTTGTCTTTTTTGTCCTCCCCCACTTTGGTTTCTTTCTGAATAGTTTTTTACTTATTAAAAACCAAGGTTCCCCCAGGCCCACCTGCACTTGTACTCATATCCTGTTTTTGGGATCCCATAGATCTCACACATAGCCAGTGTGAGAACAGGAAGTTGCACTTAGATGGACCACTGGCCTGATCCAGTAGGCTCTCCTTATGTTTGGCAAGGTGGCTTTGCAAGTTTGCCAGAGTCAGGAAAAGCAAGTTACAGTGGCTGCTGGTGGTGGCAAAATATCAGATTAAAGGAAAACAGCATTCCAGGACAGCTGTGCCCTTTTGCCTAGATCCTGAAAGAACTGTGATAAGGACAGAGATTATGACATTTCAAATAGCCAGAAAGGTGTTGGTGGGCATTCAGATGGGTGTCCAAAATGATGCAAGAATCCTGCAATCTTGAAAACTTTCCAGATAGGTATTGCAGTTCAGAGACTATTTACAATCAAGACTGTGACATATAATCAAAAGACTGAGTTGAAAGTATAAGAACTGTAGAGACCAGCCATCTTTGGGAGAAACCTTTGCAGCACCCCAAGGAGCAGAGTGAAGCTTCATCATTGTCTTGCTTCACCATATTGTGTTGCTAAGGGGGTCACTTAAGCAGAACAACAATCTTGGGTAACTATTCCTGCAGGACAGGTGTGCATGTGTTCTATGACTGAGATCTTTTGAGGAAGTGGAATGAATAAGCTTTTGAAAACTGGTAGCACTGCCTTGGTCTCTCCACCCCAAGTTGCATTCATGACAGTACTGCTTCACTATTCACACACACATACCCCCACACACTGCCCACCCCAATCTGAGATGAAACTCCTCATTGGTAAAACCAGGGAATGTTGTGGCTGAATGGATAATGGATAAGCTGGCTCAGATGCACAGCATTCTTGCCCCATGAGAAATCTTGGAAATGGTGCATGTCTACAGCAACCTGGCCAGCTGTGAAATGATGAATTCATTTGTGAACCAGATTGGTACACAAAACTAGTACTTGCTGACCTCTGCTGCTTGATAACAGCTTTCAGTCTGGTTTGAAGAAGCATCCATCTGAGAATGAACTTCTAAAGAAGCAAGAAGTTTGACCATATATGCAAAAATAAAAACAAATCTTTTAGAAGCTTCTCTTTATAGGAATGATCTGGGCGAGTCATCAATTTTGCCTTCCACTTTTTCCTTAGAAAGTTAAGTAACTCTGGCTTTGCTCAGTCTTGTATTAACACAATAAAGGATGGATTAGAAAGCAAAGGCGTAGCAAATCAAACAGGTAGATAGGAGTAATCTATTAAGCTGGAAAACTTTCTGTTAGCTATCATGCCTCATGCTGTTGTGTATAATTATTAGCTGCAAAATAGCACAGCTTGAACCTTATTATTGCACATTAAAGAACATTCCACTTATAATTATGAAACAAAAAAAAGAAGTGCTTACAAATCATCTGCCAAGAACTAACTTTGCGCACACAATAATCTGAAATGTGCATCCTTTCTTAACTACTTAATAAATACGCAGCTTTCTTTCCAAACTTTTTTCTTACTA